CATAATTCTGAACATGTGGTGTGAGGCATCCGCTTTTTGCCTTGGATGCTCCTGACAAGGTGGCCAAGGCGGGCCATGCGGTCGCAGGGATACGAGGGCTCTCCAAGCATGTCCATATGTCCATGGGACCGTCTGTGTAGAACCATAGGTCGCATTCGCGGTCGTCCCAATCGAGAGCTTCCTGACATGCTATGATGTGCTCAAAACACTCCAAGACCTCAGCACTCGAAGCAAAGGAGCAGACATGCTGAATAGCTCAGTGAAATAGCGGGCCTCTGGTAAGTGCACACAGCGCTTCCTCCCTGTGCGCTGGCAAAACCGGTCAGCTTGCTCCAGGAGAGACATCTGCGACCATTGGCCCCAGCGCGACTCTGTGAGCCGCTTATGCAGCGGGACAATGCACAGGGCTTCGGCATCTTTGCACACAGAACACGACAACCGGCCACATAAACCACAAACAATCGAAAGCTGCTCAATGCACAACTCAGTCCACAACCTCCTGATCCTGAGAGCAAGGGCGCGCCTTGGCATCAGCCAGAGCCTTTGCAATGGTGAGCACCTGACTGCCAAGGCAATCTTAAAGAAGCTGGCCCAAGCTTGCCCAACACTTCTTCATGTGTGGAGCATCGTGGAGCCAAGACGCTGCAGCGGCGCCGCTGCCGTTGTCCACAGCCCCCGGTGCTAAGCCCTGGCATCTGTGTCTTATCTGATCCTGTCCTCCTCTCCTCATCCCACCTCATCCCAGTCTCTCTTTTAAGGACATTGCTGAGGCAACACAATCTAACATGCGGCGAGAAAGGGCTTGAAGGCGAAGTTTGGATCGGCAATCCCTGCCTTGTCAGTCTAAGCACCACCCCATTTCACTTTTCAACATGAACGAAACACGGAAGATTCGTTTTTTTCATACGGCGCCCGCCAGCGCCCGTCAACTGAAGATCCACCCATTTACCCTTGAGCAGGCTCTTCGCCATCATTCGTTGGTTTGTAGTATCTCGTGTTACTGTGGTTTTGTGCTATGTTGTGTTCCTGTTCTTTCTGTTGCTGACTGCTGGGAACCTGAAACTGTGTCTTTTTCTTTCTAAGCAGCTATACTGTCGATGCATTTTCCACTGCTCCATCCGCCATCCCAACACTCCCCCTGCCCTTCCCAATCCCAGTAGAGCCATCGCCGACAACAATCCGACGCACATGGCACGAAAACAGAAATGGATCATCATCGCTTGGAGCTGCAAATCGGATAACTAGCCATTCAACAAACCGGATTGGCACCAACTCGGGTCTGCATGGGCTTTTGGCCAGCCCCGAAAGAAAATCCTTGCGCGCGCTGCTCCCGGCCTGGAAGGGTCGCGAGTCATAGTGTCCTCCTAGGGTCACGGAGCCCGCGCTGGAATCAGTGCCCTGTCAAGATCACAACTGAGGGTGCACTTCCCAAAGTGCACGAGGGTGCACAGAAAGCGCAGATTGTCAAATGAGTCAAATGCAAAGGCCTGAAGACTGGCGATCACTGAGGTTTGCTGCTCACCAAACTGCTGTTTGCACACGGAGTAGCCCATCTCCTGCACTTCAAAGCCTTGTATCTTGACTCTAGCATCCGACCCTCGGTTCTGAATTGCATTGCCTTGAACTTCTTCTCCAGGAAACTCACCGAATTCGCGGATGCCGTCGGATTCGAATAGCTCCTTAGCAGGGCATTGGCACTACTTTAACGCCCTGAGAAAACACAACCTCTGACTGAGAAGCACCAACGTATCTCTGTTGGGATGGAAAAGGCTACTCCCGGTGCAACGTGCACAGGAGTCCATAATATCCAAGCGGCCGAGTCTGTGTGGAGCCATCTCCCAGCGCTACCAGCTCCTGCGCTTTTGCACGCATAGCACTGTAAAGGTGCTAGAGGTAGAGTGGCTGTGGCCGATCCTTGAGCTGGCGCATGGCAGAAGCCGCCGTTATGGATCCCACGGCCTATAACGAGAGGCAGGAATCCCACTCAACGGGTGCTTCTTTGTGTTTCAGAAGTTTGCTGCGGCATGCTATGCCGGGCTTTGCACACGCGGTCCAAACAACGCTGCAGTCCAAGTGCCTTTTTCTCCACACTCTCACCGGCCGAAGACAAACCGGAGCTGTAGTCCTCGCGGTGCAGCACCAAATACGGCAAGCTTGTTACATCCGTCAGCTTGCATTCGTCTGCCCACCTCGGGCACTTCGTAAGACCTCAGGCATGCCACAACATCACCAAACACCGTACCTCTGTTGTGCACATCCCTGCGTTGACTCAGAACAACTTGAAACCCAAGGCGAAACTTTGTGCAACTAAGCTGCGGAAAGAGCCGTGCATCTGACAGCACCTGGCATACGCCCCACACGCAGAATCGCCAAGGCAAAGCTCCCACTGAGGCTGCGGCGTCCTGATGGTTCAACTGCACCTTAAGCTTTCGTCCATTTTTGCGGCTGTTACTCGATGTTTCCAGCCGATGCTACCCTGCAGCCGCGGAACCAATGCGCTGACAGAATCCCGGCGTCCTGCCACCTTTGGCAGCGCCGTGGCCAGAGAGTCCTTGCCCTGACACAAGCATCACGATGCATCACAGTGCCACTGCGAACCAGCAGTTTCCAGAAGGCCTCCGGGATGTGGAAGATGTGCAACCGACCCGCGCCACCAACACGCTTCTCGTGGAGTTCATCCGTGAGCGCGCCATGCGAACCTCGGTGCAAAAAAACACAAAACAAGGTTGCTTGCCTGAAACGCTGCGCATCACGAGCTTAGGTGCAGGCCATAAGCATAGTAGTAGTCTCCAACATTGGAGCTAAGACCACTATCAGTGGCAGGAGTGTGCACCAAGTGGTCGCCCACCTGCATCAAAACACCGGCATCTTTCAAGGTCCTCCGCTGGGCAAAACGTAAACGGACGACTAAGGTTTCCTTTCGACTTGCAGGCTCGCGCTGCGTTGCAACTGCAGCGAACTGCAGTTTAAATGCCTGTTTCTTGAGAGCAAACTATAGCAAAGTCTTTTGAACAGTGCATGGGAGTCTTCCTGCAAACGTGAAGCGATGGTTTGGAGAGCGTTTGGTTTGAGCCTCGGCTTCCCTGTCCAGGTTTTCTTGTTTGAGGTTAACTCAAGTGAGTCACCTGTGATAATGGCGGATGCTCTGGCACCCTGTCTGGATTGAAGAAGAACCCCCTGGGAGTGTGATGGTACCGAGGGCACCTACACCAACAAATAATTGCACGATACCTCTGTCTCTTTGTCTCCAATTGCCGAAGTCAAAGCAAGGCGCATTTTTCGCCCAGGCGAGTGGCGTCTAGAACACGCAAACCAGGATCTGGTCTGCTCAAGCCGCTTGGAAGAACCGAAATCGGTGTAAACCGCCAAAAATACGAAAACTCCCTGAGATCCTCTCTGGGACCCCCCGCAGACCCCCGGAACACCCTCCCTCCCCTAAACCATTTTTGCTGGGACCCGAGCACCGTTGCGCAGCGCTACACCCCGCGTTGGGACAGCCCGACATCTGCCAACTCGTCATGGGCTTCTCTGTTTGCACTAGTCTTGGCAGTGTCCAAGCTTGTGGCACCCCACCATGTCCTCGGCCGCCTTCTCAACCTCTGGATTCCAGTGTAATGTTGGACTGGCTTTAGTAGATGGGATCACTATTATGCGATTTTCCGCTCGGCCTATACAGGACCCCCCATTGGTTCACAATTATGCGATGTTGTCCCGGCTGGGGTTGAAGGGCGGGGGGCCGGGGAGCCAAAAACTTTAAAAAAAAATTGAATAAGAAACTCCGGGTTTTTTTGGTGTCCAGCCTTATTTAAATTCCTTGCAAAATTTCATTGCGAAACAGGAGTTGCCCACGAGCTGCCCTGATTCGCTTTAGCAAGTTGTTTCGGTGGTCCGCATTAATGCGGAGCCCCGGTGACCGTGGAGCTACAAAGCCTGGAAAGCTTAGACCCTCAAGCTTCAAGGCTTCCCCTCAACCCTCCACCCCTAGCCGCCCTACCCCCAGCCCCCGTCCCAGCCCCGTCCCAGATTATTAAGGATCCCCGAAAACCCCAAAATTGTTTGGGGGGGGGGGGGGCCCCTACGCACTAAAGCGAGTCCAACATTAGCCTCTACGTTTCTCGGTCCTTTCGAACTTTCCCATATTCACACTATATTGGAAAAGCATTCGTTCACATAATCCTGGATCATGCACATAACCCTGAATCGTGTCTGCGTTCTTCTCCACGTCATTCGGTTGGGATTCATGCGCGGAATGGGCCTCTTGATGTCAACACATGCGCCGAGATATGTAACTTTCATAGTAGTTCAGCAGATCACAGACTATCCCCTGTGCGCATTCATGTTTGCTCGGTCCCTGGAGCACTCGCTGGTAAAGATAAACATGTGTTTATCGCTCACATTCTGTGCATCGACGGCCAAGGAGCCATGAGCGCAACTCTGCTGAACTGCTCTTCTCAACTCTTCGCATACTCTGCACACATCGTCGCACCTTGGCCCACCATGTGCCCTCGCCCAGACTGGATGCCGCAGTGGGGTGAAGCCGCGGCAGCTGTGCAGCACTTGCAACTGTTGCCAGCAGCAACACTCGATGCCCAAGGGAAGGCATGACAAGGACCTGGTAGATGGTAGATGGGACTGCCACAGAAAGCCTTTTCGCAAGTGTCAAAAGTGCGGCACGGCCACACGGTGAAGGAGAGCAGGACTAGACCGTGGAGTCAGGTAATCGCTTCCTCGGGACAGAATCAATGCAGAATCTTCATATTGTACAGAACTGCTGGGGCTCCACACGGGAACGTGATGGTTCGGACACATGCAGCGCCCGCTTGAGCCACGTGACTCCCCTAGCAAGCGACATATAACCTTCCATTGCAGTCAGGCCAGAAAAAGTAAGACAAGCGTAAGCAGTGAAAGGACAAGCGTAAGCAGTGAAAGGCCAGCGCTGGTTGGACATGCCAGCAGCGTGCAGCTCTGCAGTGCAACAGCAGTCCAATCAGTCCACGTGCCTCAAGGCACCCTTGAGAACCAATGGCTCTTTGAGCTCGGATAGTGGGACCGGGCCTCACTTTCAAGATGTGGACAACTCGCTTATTGACTCTTCAACAGCTGTGCAAACGTTGCCTAAAGAACGGGCAGGCAAAAATGTCTGCTGACCGATCCCCATGGCAGCAACGTGGCGGTATGAGAACTCCTTCACTTAGAATGCGTAGTGAGTAGTGAGTCCACCTGTGCGGACGCGTCCGAGTTGTTTTAAGCGTCTGGTGCTTCAATGGTCCTGCTGGCTCGTGTGCGACGCACATTGCCAAGTTCAAGTTGGAATGCAGGTGGCTTCTCCGCATGAGCTAAGTTTTACAGCACGCAATACGCAGCAAATTTCTTGAGGGACATCTTGTCTTGTGCCCACCCACCCTGAGGTGAAGGTAGCCCCTGCCCTGGGCCGGGGATGGGTTGCCTGTAGGCCTATAGAGTAGAGCGGACGAAGAGCTCCCCCGCATCATTTAAGGAACTCCTTCTTCACATGCGCGGTGAGTCTCTTGAGACTGGACTGGCAAGTGTTTGAGCCAAGCGCCACACATGTCTGGAGTGAAGATTCTATCCTTCCCGATGGCCCTTCCAGATGGCCATATTTGCCCCTGCCCCCAAAGCCTCCCGAGCAGAACACCAGCACAAATGCTTGTATTTGGAGGCAGCACGCCTCGTAGAAAACATGGAATAAGTTGCACAAACCTGGGAACCATCATCATTGTGGCACAAGAACACTGCGACTCTCGTTTCAGGTGCAAAGGCCAAGGCGGACGACCAGGGAATTGACAATGAATCAAAGTTCTGCGATCAGCACATGACACATTATGCTCTTTGTGCTCAGCTCCAGGTAAGTCTCTAGCAGCCGTCTGACCCATCGACTTCAACTGCTGGCTTGTACGCAGCAAGCTTGTGGGACGACATGGCGGCCATTGCATCTACCGGCACTTTGAAGCCCTCGTTCGAGTGCCCTAATAGCCTGAAAGCTTGGGTGCAGCTGACGCATCTTCCGGCTGGACACGCTTTGGCTCGAAGATGAGCAAAGAGAGGGGGGGGGGTCGAAAGCTGAGCCAGGTGCCGCACCATGCCAACGTTGTCACAAAGGCAACTCAGTTGCTCGTGATGCCAGCTTGGGAAGACGTGTTGCCCACGCAATCTTCCTCAGAACATGCACATACCTGCGCCGGACGGCAAGCATTTGCTTAACCTGGCTGTGAGACTGCACTGGCCTGCCATGCAAACAGCAGGCTCACTCCAATGCTGTCGCTTTGGACGTTTCGATGCAGCTTTACGCACCACACGTCGGCATTGATTGTTCCAGCTACTTCTTCTGGGGATACACCTTTAGCGCACCTTCAAAAACGATGGTGCGTCGACCTGAGAAACAGCAACAGCTTTGACATATCAAAAAGCTCTGGTCAGAACAGAACCAAGTGATGCTTCGGAACTCAACTAGCATCATCAAATTGTTGGCTGCTTGCAGGCGCTTGACGAATGCCCTATCACTGTCCATAAGGTCCCAGCACACGCCGCAAATTTTGGAAGGGTCCTGAGTCAAAGAGACCCTGCCCAGGTGCTCTTGCAAAATTTGAATCTGGAGCAGAGGCAGGGCAAAAAGAGGCAGGCAGCGGACAAGAGCGATGCTCAAGCCGCACAGATTCTTACAGCCAACAGATGGACATGGCAGGGCTGGGGCCAGGGCCTGCGAGACCAGCGGGTTGAGGGTCGGCAAGTGAGGAGCCACGGACTCTCCCAACTGCGAGAGCAGCAATCTTCAAAACGATCCAGAAACTGCCCTACTATCAAACCCTAATATCAAAGCATTCATAAAGTCGCACACCACGAATCGCAGCTGCAGGAATATACCCAATGGGCGCCTCGACTTCTTTCTGCAGCATGTCACGCTGGCGAGTAATCTCCTCAACCTGCTGCACGGAAGGAAGAAATACAAGTTGCAAACATGTGCGCAAACCTTTGCAAAGGACTACACTGCCAGGATCTGCAAGGGCCTGCGACTGGAAATCGGCCTTTGCTTTGGCAAGCTCTGTGGTCTTGAAGTCCTCCAGCTCCTTGTCGAGTGACGTCCCTACTCTCGTGCCTCAAATGCCCCTACTTCACCGAAGACAACCCTATGCCTCCGCACACTTCCGCTTAATGTCCCGGACGGTGTGATAGCATTCCTCTTTAACCTACCAGAGCTTCCAGTCCAGGAAGACAAGAAAAAACATCCGGGGGAACGCTGTGCAACGCCGTGAAACTTGACTCAGCGACGCTCAGCCTTCACCAGCTCCATGTCCAGGTCTTTGGTAAAGATGAGAAGCTCCTCAGCGAGGCGCAGCACAACAAAGGGAGATGATGGCGACACGGCTGTACCTCTGCCAGTTTTCAGCCGCACGCATCACGCTCTTTCTCGACGTGTCTGCGTAGACGACGCTCTGCTGGCAGGACTCCTTGCACATCCCAGAACATTGCGAAGCAAGACGAATCCGCGAGGCGCAAGACCCTCTGACAAGGGGACGATACATACAAAACCCAAACGAGCAGCTCAACGTGTGGAGTTCTGTAACTCGTTCTCTGTGAGACATGTGTGCAGCATGTGTGTGTGTGTGCGCACTGCAACGAAAAATCACACGAGACAGACCGCGGGGCGCACCTATTTCAGAGGCCGGTGCCAGGCCTGCACGAAGCAGAGACTTTTGCACTCACTGGGTGCGGAGAGTGCACGTGAGAGGGAACTCGGAAATGCGGTGGCGAAGCGCACGAAGTGACTAAGAATGGCGAAGCGCACCAGAATTCCAAAACTTCGGAGGAGACGCCTGGGCCTGGCTCCTCCTCTGCATCGGGCTCGTTTCCAGGACCCTCAAGCTCCAACAGGCCTCGGCGCGCGCAAGGCGAAGCGAATTCCCTCACAAGGTGAAGGTGGATGCACGATGGTGCACGGTAAATACGAGGGAGATGATCACTGTATCAATGCCGTGATGAGCACCTGAATCGCTGAAGATTAGAATCAGCCAGGTTGAGCAACTGGGCGCAATCACGCTTCTGCCGCGCGTCAGCCATCGTCTCCGCCGCGAGCAGCTGGTCCAGCAGCTCTGCCTGAGACATCTGCTCATCTCCCATGTGGCCCATGTGGACATGGCTGTGACGATGTTGGGTCTGCAAAAAAGCTCAGAGGCTGCCTCCCTTCGGCTGCTGTCCTGGAGAAGCTTTCGCTGAGATGGTCGGGCTGGGCCATCGCTTTCCAGAGGCACCACATCCTGCGTGCAGACATTTGCGCATAAACATTTTGAAAAACATACCTTCATTCAGCAACCATGCGCAGCATCCGGTATTCTGGATGCTTTTCTGGAGATCGGCGGTCCTCAAGACCGCGGGCATCTGCCCGGAGCTGCTGCGCATCCGAGCGTGCCAGGAGCAGAGCCACCTCTCCCTGGCAAACAGCGTTTACGGCTAAAGTTGCTTGAGTTGCTTAAGTTGCTTAAGTTGCTTAAGGCTTAAGCACGGTGAAGCATTTAAAAGCGTCAGAAACCACTGCCAGCCGTCTGGGACGGCCACCTCGCGTAGCTGAGCACCCAGCCTTGCAAGAGCGGCGCAGACTCGCAGAACATGAAACTGAACAAGTCGCTGAACTCAGCTTGCACTGGGCATGCATTGTGTTCTTGGATTTCGGGCCTGCGAAGCTCCGCCTTCAGCTTGGCCACCTTCGAGTCAAGGGCTCAAACACAGCTGAAACCCTGGAAAACGCAAGGTATCGGGCCGTGCAGTAATGTGCCATGTGTGCCTCATCACGTAGTTCTGCCAGCTGCTTGGACATTCGGCGCTTGTCCTTGCTTAGCTTCAGCGATCAGCAAAAGATGACCAGCCTTCAGGGGTTCATTGCTTGAAGGTCTTAGCATGTCTTAGCCATCGGCATCTTCCAGCTCCTCCACCTACCAAGTTTGCCCCAAATGGCTCGCAGGATTCGTGGATTCTTCATGATTCTTCCACCCGCGACAAGACACAGTGCCGGGGCTCCATACCTTATCTGTGAGACGGTGTTTCTCCAGGGTCAGAACCTGATCCAGCTGGGTTCTGATTCTGCCAAGTGCTGCAGCCTAACTGAAACCTACATCTTCTTTCATCATACTCGCATGCGGGCAAGCCTGCAGCTTCTTGGCCTGCACATTGACTCACATTGACATCATTGACTCATGCACCAACTGGAGATACAGAGCAACCGATGTTGATGGATCAAGAGAGCGCGAAAGCATGCAAAAAAATCCGGAACGGAACCTGTCATGTGTCATATTGTGTCATAGTGCGTCGTTCTTGCGGCTACTCTGGAATCCCATTGCAGAGAGCTAGCGTACGCAACTTGAGAGCCTGGTCCTCCGCCGTGCCCTGTGACTCCTCTAGATCCGCCATGGCACGCTCATGAGCCGCCAAGAACCTCCAACGGCAAGCCGTGAACAGGATGCCAAAAGCTTCTGTGAATCCGGCATCATGTTCAGGTCCCCGACTTCTCGTAGAGGCGCTTGTACTCATCGCGATCCGCTTCGAGAGCGGTTCGCCTCGAATTCGAAACACTTTTGGAAACACTGCTTTGAAGAAACACACCGCTGTGGAGCATGCTGGGCTCCAGGCTGCTCCTCCCACTGCCGCGCCGCTTCTTCCAGATCTTCCTGAGTCGCCACCATCTTGGCCTCCAGGTCGTTGACCTGACTTTCTCAACATTTCCTTGTCTTTTCACCTGGCTTCTTGCTACATTCTTGGACTTCGACACGTGTGACCAGAACATCATTGCGGCCTCATGAGAAGCTTGATGCTTGGAGACAGGAAAGAGTCTGCTTTACATGCGCCAGACAGAGGTTTGCACCTTCAAGCTCAACTGCACGAGAACGTTCGCAATGATACCGCCAAGAGACGAGCACGTCATCCTCTCAGCACAAGGCAATGATTCTGCGATGTTGAGCTACATGTTCCATGCCATCCTTCGTCTTCTGCCGGATTGCGTAGGACTGATTGTTGATGGTGCGCACCAAGTATTCCTGAAAGCTGTTTGACCACTTCTGCTCTCCGAAGATCTCCGAAGTGGGCCATTGGATGAAGTAAGCAAATTAGCAGTCGCTGTTTAGGCTCGACTGATCCACCTAGTCACCTAGCACCTGGACCTTCTGGACAGATCGAAAGGCCGCAACATCAGCAATATGCAACGTTGCCCAGCACGCTCCCGGCAATCAGCCTTTTGGTCGCAGGATACACCAGCAACATATTTTGCGTTGACAGGTCTCAGCCAAGCTTAGACTAGGCAACATGACGTATCACTTCGAACTGGGACCTGCCGTGACGACGGATCTGAAACGATCAGTATTTGCCCATTTCAGATGTCGGCACCATACCCTTGGAGGTATGTCATGCTGCGGTGGCGTGGCACGATTCGGTTGGAGTTACAGAACTGAATATCCAATTCTTGCCCGCAGCATCTTCAGCCGCGGAGCACCTGAGGTGACCTCCGTGGCTGCGGAGCGTCGCTCTGCGATCGCCATAGCGTGGATGTCAGGGCCCAGCTTGCAACACAAGGAATGCCGTAATATGCCATAGCACATAGTGGCACATAACGCATCCAAGCACATCCTTCCATAAGCAATCGCAAGCATCACCACATCTCATCAAGCGGGCCGAGGTATGCTGACGCCGACGTGTGCTGCAGATTTAGCAACAGCGCTGGGAAAGCTCCAGCTTGTGCGAGTGCCCCAGAAGTGAGAAAGCCGTGGGGCATCTGCGCAAGCTTCTGCGAGGAGAAGAGTTGCAATAGTTACAGGCCCCTTGATATGGCCACTTTCGCTTGTCAAATCTTTCAGAAGAGCCTTTTAGGTGGCTCCAGCGGAGCTGTGCGTCGTGAACGCCAAAAACTAAGGCTTTCATGGGGCAGGAAACACTGCACCTGTCGTAGTAAGTTTCAAGTTTGTAGAGTCCTCAACCCTCTATCCAAAACCCTAAACTTCGAAGATGCATGGATATGGCTGTTGCCCCTGACACGCCATGGCGTAAGGCTTACGGCCCTAAGACCTGAAACCCTCCTTCCTCCAGCCCGAAATCCGAGTCAGGGTTTCGGGCTAAGTTTCGGGTCTCTGGGAAACTCGTGGTGGAGTCAATCATGGCAAAGTGTTATGGAATGCACAACATCACAGCACCGCAGGGCTCTCTGTGCTGCAGCAAGTGGTTCACCGTAGTCCTACACATTCTACACAACCTACAGATTCTATAGCCCTGCCCAAGATGCAAAGCCATGCCGCAATGCCTTTAAAATCAAGCTATACAAGCCATCGCACCAATCCCATGTAATGTGCGGCTTTTATGTGGCCGTGACTTGTCACTTATCATAAACTTTCGATCGAGGCGTGGCGTACGGCTCTCAGAACAGCATGCCTTGCAGCTTATTCTTGTGGAAGAGAGATTGTAATCGGATTGGGCGGCACACACCCTCGCAATAGCATTCCACACAAGCTTAGTCCTAATCAGTGCGCTTGCCACAACATGCCACCTCTGTTCACCATCACTGTCAAGCCAGGCGCAGTACCGCAGCGCTCGATTAAAAGTCGTCTAAGAATTTGTTACAGCAGCCTTAAACGAAGGCTGCCAAGCCGAGTCTCCTAAGGAGGCTCCACGGCCTGGAGGATGCTGGACACACCCAAGGAGGCACCGGAAAAGAGGCACCTGAAAAAACTTACTGGTACTTCATAGGGATGGAAGAAATTTTTGTCAAGTAGGTCTAATATCCCTAGATTCCGAAGAACCAATAAGACAAAAGCGGAATCTGGATCGACAACTCTCGGTAACTCAGCAGGCTCCCCTGCTGAGAGTATCGGATCGGCTGCGATAGGATTGCGACGGCACGGTCAGCTTCATGACGTCCTTGCGAGCAACAGGCGGCACAAACTCAGCGCAGCAACCTTCCACAGCGGCTCTTGGGACATGCAGTACTTCTTGAGCCCTTTATCTGGGCCAGATAATATATGCATACAAGAGAAACTAGTACACTGTACTCGCTCCTCTCCACTACGACGCATCATACCTAATCCCGCCGCTGCGCCTGACATCAGCACGAGTAGCCCACACCTTTTGGACTTGGGGCTCAGCGTCGTCAATGAAGTCACACTCACTATGACTTTTCCTATACTGTTAGTGTGTGGCACATTTTGCACTCTGAAGCCACGCCTCCTGCACTTTCTGCAACATGGGCCTCAACAGTCAAGCCATTTCAAACCCATGCATAAGGCTTCTTCTCTTTCGATAATGCCATCGAGGTACAAGGCAAACTGCTGGCGTGCGGCAGCGGCAGCCTTCCCCAAACCACAGGGTGACCTACTGAGCATCCGAATGCCGTCCCATGCCTTGTTGGACAGGGTCACAACCCCGATATCGGAAAAATCTTCTCTTGAGGTCTATGGGCCCGGGACGAGCATAACGAAGAACAGGTCCACAGGGTATTTTGGCGGAGCTCTCCACTGAGGAGATGTATGGCCTCTGGCCCCCACTGCCGGTTTGAATGACTCACCCTGATGTGAAAACTCGGCAGTTGCTTGGTTTCGATGGGGTGCTCTGCTTACATCTCTATGCTTTGTGGGTCTCGCGATGAATGCGTCTTCTTCTATAGGTTTGGATATAGATCTCCCATCGTTTTTGTTTAGATCCAAAAGTAGTGAAGCTCTTCGCGGAGTCCCTTTCGGAGTCTTTTTTTGAATACTTAGAAGGTTGAAGTAACGAGCAGCGCCGTGATTCTCTCAAGTCTTAGGCAAAGCAAGAGTGGCTGTTGGGCGCTTCTTTTCGCAGCCTCTTTACGTAGAGGGCATGTGCAGAGCCAAAGGGGCGAACTAATGTAGCGCTCGAGCTCAGGACTTGCTGGCTGTCGTTTTCACTCCAGATGAGTACGCGGTGGCGACATTTTTCGGTGCCATCTTCGGCTTCGGCGCACAGTTTGCCCTCGCGGCACCCACCTGTTGTGCTGTTTTTGTGTTTTTCCGGATTGCCTCGTTTGACCCCCTATGGCTTGACGCGTACGTCGTCGCCGTGTTTGTGAGAGTCCCCGGCACTGTGGAACGAGCATGTAAAGAGATGGTTTGGACTTGAATGTGGTTCTGCGGTTTGATGGACTCGTACTCGGTCTATTTTGTATTGCTGTACTACTACATGTTAAGAGCGTACAATGAGTGAGCAAGATGTTGCTGGAGCTCAGGCGTCAGTGTCATCAAAGCCATGCCCATTTGATGACCATGCAAGTAGATGTCTGTTTGCAGCAGCAGCAGCAGCAGCAGCAGCAGCAGCAGCAGCAGCAGCAGCAGCAGCAGCCGCAGTAGCCGCAGTAGCAGCGAGGGCATCTTATAGAAATCAATCTCGAGCCACTATTTCTATAGTTTGTCCGAATGTGAGGTTCGGCAAAAACCCGGAGTTCCTGAGCCGTAGCTTCGATCGGAGGAGGCTGGCCATTCAGCAACGCCAGCACGGCTGTCCTCAGCAAACCCGAGGCAAGAATGCGAGCTCAACACTCAAAACCTGTCACCCTTCAACTACAATGCAGCAAGCACAGCAAGGTATGTTGAAAGTTGACTGCTGCGCACCCCCGTCCCTACAAAATCACGCACGGGCCTTATGCAGCCTGCCAGCGAGGCTGTGTTGTCATGAGAAGGCACAAGCAGCACCAACTGACACCGAGGTGCTCCATTGGAGGCACGGCTCCCTTCCGTGGCCAGAACCAGGCCTTCCTCGGGGAAAGGCAGCGACGGCGGTTACCAGACTGTTACCAGCACAGAATGCAACCCAACATCGAACCTACTATGACCTACGACATTACGTCATGTTACACCGTACGTCGTGATTGTCTTCATGTATCCCTTCTGCTGACTCCATGTGCCACGAAGCTGCCCCCGGTCTTGCCAGGACATGAGGCCCGGTTGGAGCCAACAAGCTCCCTTGGACTCCTTGGAGAGCCTGACTCACGCTCTACGGCTACGTGCCTGTGCTTACGTGCCCGTGCTTATGCCAGAGATATCCAAACACATCCTCAGCGCAGGCCTGCTGGCAGCACTTTTTGCTCGCCTCACAGACACTGGTCTCATGATAGAATGTCGTAAGACGGAGTTTAACATCGTTCAACTCTTCACGCTGCATTGCCACAAGATCCAACACCTGCTTCACGGGAGATCACACGCATCAGGGGCCTCTTGCTGCCATCTCGGAGTGCAGAACCTTGTCCCTGCAGAGACATAGAGAGAGTCTGAGAGAGAGTCTGAATAAAATAGAGAGAGAGTCAGAGACGTTTCAGCTGAAAACAAAACGCAACTCTCAACAAAATCATGACAACAGAATCATGTACAAAAAGAACGGGGACATGAACAAAAGCTACTAAGAACTAAAACAGCACGGAAACAACACGGCCCCGAGATCGTGGCAAGAGAATCCATCTGCGCACCGTTGCCTCGGGGGCACCGAAGACGCTGTGAGCCTCTAACTCGCCGGCTCCTGAGACAGAGGAATGCCGAATAAAAATCTGTAAAGTTTGTACGTACATTGCAAAGAGAAAGCATCCGTGCCTCGTGCATCGTCCTCTCCACGCTTGCATACAGTCCTTGCGTGATTTCGCTAGGGTCCCTGAACCTCCGACACCTCCGGCGCATGCCAAGACTATGCCAAGCAACGTTTTGTAAACGGCCAGGTAAGCACGCAGTACTGGATCATCAACGGCAGATCGGGGTGCATCTGCCTCCAAGAGCAGCTGATGCAGCTGGCATGGCCACACGCGAGGTTTGTGGGAACACTTTTGTGGGGACACTTTTGTGGGGACACTTTTGTGGGGACACTTTGTGGGCGTGGCACGGCGTGGCCTGTGTGGTTTTGGAATCTAGGAGTTGTGACCGAGCTGTGCCTCCATCTCAGCCATCGCTGCCAGCAAGTTCTCGGGAAGCACAGTCTCCTGCAAGCATTCGTGCCTCCAAGGCCCAAAGTCTCAAAGACTCTCCGAACCTTCGACCAATTGGACTCGGAGTCAGTC